AGGGGTACATGAATCTACATACAAAAACTCTCTCCTCCCTGCCCCTCTCGGCCCCTCACCACCCCTCACCACCCCTCACCACCCCTCCCCCCTCCTGCCCCGCTCAACACAGGTCATCTGGGTGCCAAGAGCGATGTCTATTCCTTCGGTGTTCTGCTCTTGGAGCTGGTAACCGGCAGGAGAGTGGTGGACGAGGGAAGCAAGATGGTCACTGAGTGCAGAACACGCCTCTCGGATCTCTCACTTAAAGCCGCAGAATATGTCGATCCGCGTCTTGATAACCAGTACCCGGAGCTGGGCGCCCGAACCTTGGCGACTCTGGCTCGGCACTGCGTGGCAGAGGCTCGGTCGAGCCGGCCGGACATCGGGAGTGTACTGGAAAAGCTTAAGTTATTGGTTAAGGCGTGTGCGAATGCAGAGGCGAAAGCGGCAGCTAAAGCTGCAGCGTTGGAGGCAGGGGAATCAGGGTCGGCTGAAATGGGGAATACGGAGGTGAATGGGGGTGAAGAGGGATCGTCAGCAGCTGTGGCACCAGTACAGGTTCTTGGTTGATTTAGTTCCTGATTACATAGTATTTCCTATTGTAAGATAGCTGAAGAGGAACACCTCGAAATGTTTGCAGAATACAAGTAGTCGTACAGGATTTGGGAATCATGCTGGTGTAGGGAGCCATCATTAGCAGTTATTCAGTTACAGGCCTTACCCTATGTTGTGGGGCCTTTTTTTCAATCTCCAGTCACGTGAGCAGTAGCAGCCGGAGTTTGGAGAAGGAAACGCTTATAATGTCACAGCTGTGTTCCACAAGCGAGGATGTAAAGCCGGCTTCTGGAAGTGGAACTGCGCTACAAGCCACTACCAGGCAACTTGCGATTTCACCCGCACGACCAGTGGTGGGTGTGGTGTGGTGTGCCCAAATGCCCAACCTAGCTGCCTGTTTTGTGCCATGTCGCTTGTTCATTGGCTGTGGCTCGACGGTTGTCCCCGACCAATATCCTGACAGGAAAAGCAGGGTCTGTCCGTCCTCCAACAACATTTCTCCACCTTGGATTTGTCGGTTCTTGGGTATGGAATGGAAAGCTGCGACTGCGCTGTGTAAGCTCGTTTCGTCGGGTCTTTGGCGATGTTTTTTGTGGCGAGAATGGTTCGCGAGGTACAGACGAGATTGTGACGAAAGTGCATCCAGGCTAAGGGCGCGTCAATTCCCCCCGGATTTACGAAATTGCCTTTTGGCCGCTTTTCCGTCGACAATTCAGTCGACATTTCTTTCGCGAAAAACGCCCAAATGGTCGACATCATGACGACACGCAGTCGGCCTGCTTTTGTAAAACTGCAAATTTGACAGGTTTGCTGGCCGATATGCAGGCCGCAATACAGGAACTGTAAACTTTGCAGTCGCCCAACTGACCGGGTTCGCACGACGGCGTCGCACATGTCAACTCTGTACACGTGTTTCACGTTCAGTCGCCAGTAACTGTGCGCGACGTAACAGATCTCTGTCGCACCGACGCGTCGGAATTGTGGCCGGTTTGCAGTCGACTCGGCGTCGTTTCCGAATCGACTCATTAAACGGCCATAAAATCGGCCATCAAATTCGCGAAACTCGCCAAATGTTAGCGACTTTCGCAAACTGGTTACTTTCGCAAATCAGGCCATTCGGATTCATCCGAATTTTGATGTTCGGGGAATTGACGCGCCCTAACACACAAAATTCAGATGGACTACACAAATGGTTCTCTTGGGATTCTCACATATGAAGAAACCTGAGAAACCATTTCTCGAGGCTGTAGAAAAGAATGAAGTGCAATCGAACAAGGCCTCTATGTGTATTCGCCAGTGCTGGTAAAATAAGAGCCTGCTTCGTGCTGCTCAGGTCTATGACGCCTCGCTGATATTGGCAGTATCAACACCATTGTATCAAAACTATTTTAGGACCGCAGTTAACGCAACAAAGAGTACTCGTAATCGAAGCGCTCTTATCGTTCCTTCTCCAGATCGCATGACACCAATCGTTGTTATGTAGAATATACTTGTCCATAACCAGCACACGGAACGCATTCGCAGCCGTTCGTAATCGTAACCGTGCAAGGCTTCCTATCACTAATCTTCATGTTCAGCCTTACTGCGTGACGGAGTAAATATTTTAGCCTGATGCCCTACTACACATGCATGGAGCAGCAGGCAGTGGAATGGGAATGTAGCTGACAGACGTGATAATCGTTCTTTCTTTTCTTCCCTTCAAGGTTTAGAAGCCGAATTCTGATCCAACAACAGTGTCGCGGCGTCAAACTCTTTTCCGTGAAGAAAAATGGGTTGTTTCATGTCGAAAATGGGTACGTACGCCAGTCTCATATGCCTCTCTCAGATGCTCTGAATAACGATACGGCAGAATGTTAAATACATTAATTGTTGTTTAGAATCGTTTCGCCGAAAAAATGCGCTCCATCTGAATCAAACATGTTCAGCGAAATCTCAGGCTTTTTTGCTGAAGCAAGCGAAGTAATTTCATGCCAAGTTATTCAAATGTGATTATTCTCAAGCGGATGGGGTAAGTCGACTCAAATGCAATGATAACCAGTGCTTCTCCCCTCTCCATTTCCCTTCCTTTGCAATAACCCCGATTTCCCTTTCCATTGTCCCTTATCAATCAGACAACCGTGAAACAAGCACATCAGTTATTGATAGTGGCGCCAGCAAGACCTACCCCAGCAGCCAGAATAAGTCGTCTCTCAGAACCGCCACCTTTAACACCTCCGAAAATACCGGTTCGGTCGAGACTTCAATCCCGAATCCTAGTACCACCAATATTTTTGTTGTGGTTCCGTCTCCGAATAGTGCCAGTGATAAGTTAACGTCGTTCGACGGTTCAACGGCAAATCCTAGCGCTAGTGACGCCGATAACAGTGTTTTGGTCGACGGTTCAACGTCTACTCTCAGTACCAGTGACACCGAAAATCTTGTTTCAGTTGACGGTACAACGCCGAACCCTACCAGTGCCAATGACACCACCAACGACAATCCCCACCCTGACCTCATCCCAAGCTCCCTGCGACGGTTTTCGTTCGCTGAACTCGAGGCTGCGACGAACTGGTTTCATCGGCGAAATCACATTGGCGAAGGCGGGTTCGGGACCGTGTATTGGGGGATGATCCCGCCGGGCCCAAATGGGCTTGGCGCGGAGCGGACAGAAGTGGCGATAAAGAAAATGCGCGAGGCGAACGAACGTTACGCAGAAGAATTTCTGGTGCGCGCGTGTGTGCGTGCATGGGTGGGAGAAAAGATGTGGGTTAGATGCCAACTTTCCTAACGAGCATCTCGCGTTTCCACACAATTCCCTCGACTGCAGAGAGAGTGCTGGAGAGGTGTCCCACCCACACCTCGTGTGCATGCACTGAGTTTTGAGTCGACTTAAAACACACCCGCACCTTGTGTGCGTGCACCGAGTTTTGAGTCGACTCAAAACACACCCGCACCTTGTGCGTATGCTCTGTTACCGCTTGGGGATTTTGCAAACACACACACACACACACACACACACACACACCAAGCCACACCACGAGCATCGCTTTTCCGCACAATGCCGGTCCCCTCAAGCGAGGAGAGATTGCTGGAGAGGTGTCCCACCCGCACCTTGTGCGCGTGCACTGTTATCGCTTGGAGATTTTGCACACACACACACACACACACACACACACACACACACACACACACACACACACACACACCACGCCCCGGTGATCCTCTTGTGTCCCCCTTTCAAATCACTGCGTAGAGAGATGATCGTGCGGGCCAGCTGTTGCACCTCTACCATCCCACCGCCCCATCATTCCCACCCAACCCCTTGCACAAAGAAGAGATCGCGCTGGGGCCGCTGTTGCAAGTCGCAAGCCCACTACGCCACTACCCCACCATGACACCACTCGCTTGCAGAGAGAAGTGATCGTGCTGGGCTGCTGATCCACCTGCATCTCGTGCGTCTGCATGCGCCCTTCACATTCGATCCGGTCCCCTCCACCCCACCCCCCCCTATCAATCCCTCTTGTGCAGAAAGAAGTGATTGTGCTGGGCTGCTGATCTACCTGCATCTCGTGCATCTGCTTGGACCCGTCACATCCGATCCGGTTCCCACCACCCCCTACCAATCCTGCTTGTGCAGAAAGAAGTGATTGTGCTGGGCTGCTGATCTACCCGCTCCTCGTGCGTCTGTTTGGTCCTGTCACATCCGATCCCCTCCAGTTTTGAATCGCCTCGTGTGTCTGTTTGGTCCTGTCACCCTCGTGACTTTTGAGTCTGACTGATCCCCGTGCTGGGGCGGCTGTTCCACCCCCTCCTCGTGCGGGTGCATGGGCCCGTCACATCCGATCCGATTTCCTCCCCCCACCACACCAACCCCTCTCGTGCAGAGAGAGGTGATCGTGCTGGGGCGGCTGTCCCACCCGCTCCTCGTGCGTCTGCACGGCTACTGCATGGAGGGCAACGAGGCTTTTCTCGTCTACGAGTTCATGACTGGGGGTAGCCTGGACAAGGCGCTACTAGACAGTGAGTGGGGTGCTTGGCCAGTGGAGTGGGGTGCTGGACAGAGTGAGTGGGGTGCTACAGGTGGTTATCCACCAACTAGAGTGGACTCAGCTCTCTCCTCGCTCTGCCTACTCGTCTGCGAGTTTTTGACTGGGGGCAGCCTGGCTGGACAAGGCGCTATTGGAGAGTGAGTGGCAAGCAGGCCGTGAGTGGGTGGTGAAAGGCCGGAAGCTGCTTGTAAGGAGTAGGAGTGTCACGGCTCTCTCCTCTCTCTGCTTGTGTATCACCCGAGTTCATCACTGGGGGAAGCCTGGACAAAGCATTGATGGACTGTGAGACTGATGCTAGGGAAAGGTGCTTATCATTGCAGTTTGGACTCGTCACCCGCCTGTGCGCTCGTGAACGAGTCCATGACGGCGGGCAGCTCATGTACGAGTCCATGACGGGGGGCAGCTCATGTACGAGTCCATGACGGGGGGCAGCTCATGTACGAGTCCATGACGGGGAGCAGCTCATCTCTGCTCTACTTCTGCCTGTGCCAACACCCCCGCACCCCTCACCCACCAGGTGCAAAGGGCGAACCCTTCTTCTGCTGTAACATGCACGGCCTTTCTTCCCACTCCTCAGTTCCGCCTTCATCCTTCCTCCCGCCTGTGCCATGCCCCAGCACCCCCCACCCACCAGGTGCAAAGGGCAAGCCCCTCTTCACTTGGTTTGGAGCATGCACGGCCTCCCTTCCTTCCCACTCCTCCGTACTGACACTACCTTTCCTCTCGCCTGTGCCACAACCCCGCACCCCCCTCCGCCCATCAGGTGCGAGCGGAGAGCTCGTCTTCAGCTGGAACATGCGCCTCAAGGTGGCGGTGCAGGTGGCAAAAGCTCTCGCGTACATGCACGGACTCAACTTCATTCACCGAGATCTCAAAGCCGCCAACGTGCTGCTCACTCCTGTGCGTGCGTGGGGGGAAGAGGGGAGGGAACAGGTGGCAGAAGCGCTGGCGTACATGCACGGAGCCAACATGATCCACCGCGACCTCAAAGCCGCCAACGTGCTTCTGTCCCCGGTAAGGGCATGGGAGAGGGGAGGGCATGGGAGAGGGGAGGGCATGGGAGAGGGGAGGTAGAAAGTAGGCAGAGGCGCTGGCGTACATGCACAGAGCCAACATGATCCACCGCGACCTCAAAGCCGCCAACGTACTGCTCTCGCCTGTGAGTAGGGGATTGCTGGGAAGGAGGGTGGCTTGGGGAAGCTGGGGGGTTGAATTTCTAGTTCTAGGTTGGCGGTGCAGTCAGGTTGGCGGTGGTGCAGTCAGGTTGGCGGTGCAGTCAGGTTGGTGGTGCAGTCCAGGTGGCACAGGCGCTGGCGTGCGTCCACAGGCGCTCGCGTCCATACAGGTGGCAGAAGCGCTGGCGTACATGCACGGAGCCAACATGATCCACCGCGACTTGAAAGCAGCCAACGTACTGCTCTCGCCTGTGAGTAGGGGATTGCTGGGAGGGTGGGTGGCTTGGGAAAGCTGGGGGTTGAACTTCTAGTACTAGGTTGGCGGTGGTGCAGTGCAGGTGGCACAGGCGCTGGTGTGTGTGCACGGGCTCGACTTTGTTCACCGCGATTCGAAAGCCGCCAACGTGCTGCTCTCGCCTGTGAGTGCGTGTAAGGCCATGGGAGTGAGGGGAGGCAGCAGGACAGATGGCAGGGGCAGCGAATTGACAGCGCTGCTCTTGCCTGTGAGTGTGCCAGGGGAGAGGGGAGGTAGCAGGGTAGATAGTACACTTCCCTGCTCTCCCCACTCGTCTCTTCTCTTCCCTGTCAGCGCCACAGGAATACGATGCATCACATGCTCCTCTCAGCGGCTTGGTGCAAGTGATCACATGTAGCTTGCGAGTGATCACATGTAGCTTGCGAGTGATCACATGTAGCTTGCGAGTGATCACATGTAGCTTGCGAGTGATCACATGTAGCTTGCGAGTGGTCACATGTAGCTTGCGAGTGATCACATGTAGCTTGCGATGTAGCTTGCGAGTGATCACATGTAGCTTGCGAGTGATCACATGTAGCTTGCGAGTGATCACATGTAGCTTGCTAGTGATCACATGTAGCTTGCGAGTGATCACATGTAGCTTGCGAGTGATCACATGTAGCTTGCGAGTGATCACATGTAGCTTGCGAGTGATCACATGTAGCTTGCGAGTGATCACATGTAGCTTGCGAGTGATCACATGTAGCTTGCGAGTGGTCACATGTAGCTTGCGAGTGATCACATGTAGCTTGCGAGTGATCACATGTAGCTTGCGAGTGATCACATGTAGCTTGCGAGTGATCACATGTAGCTTGCGAGTGATCACGTGTAGCTTGCGAGTGATCACATGTAGCTTGCGAGTGGTCACATGTAGCTTGCGAGTGGTCATGTGTAGCATCACATGCTCCTCTCAGCTGAATATGTCCATTGTGTAGCTTCCCATGCCACAGGAATACGACTTTTGAGAAAGCTGACGGACTTTGGAATGTTTCGAGGCATCACATCTAGCTACCTCCCACCCGTCTCTTCCCCCGTTCACTCCTCCTTACCCTCCCCACACCACAGTTTTTGAGGCGCCTCAAAAATCATCTAGCTCCCTCCCACCCGTCTCTTGCCTCGCTCACTCCTCCGTACCCTACCCTCCCAACAACACAGGAGCATGAAGCAAAGCTGACCAACGCGCGCGGGGCTGGACGGGCAGCTAGGTTTTGACATTTACTGCCCCTTACCCCCATACCTCCGAATCTCCCACCCGTCCCTCCCCTCACTCACTCGTCCCTTCCCTCTCCACGCCACAGGAATACGACGCAAAGCTGACAGACTTCGGGATGGTGCGAGTGGGGCCAGATAGGCAGTTGCAGTCGATAGTATCGACGCGCGTCATGGGGACCAGGGGGTACACGGACCCCTCATACATGGAGACAGGTGTGTGTGTAGGACTCTGGAGGGCTATGACCAGCATGCGTCCTCACAGCATGGGCACTGGGGGCTACACGGACCCCTCATACATGGAGACAGGTGTGTGCCATAGTGGAGAACTCAAGAGGTTGAAGAGTCAACTCAAGAGTCACATCATGGGGACCAGGGGGTACACGGACCCCTCATACATGGAGACAGGTGTATGTTGAGAGGGTGCTGAGTAGCATACATGATACAGGGTGTGAGGGTGGACAGGGCCCCTCATACATGGAGACAGGTGTGTGTGTCTAGGTGACTGTTACTAGCATGCATACCACCTTGGGGACTCAGGGGTACACGGCCCCCTCATACATGGAGACAGGTGTGTGTGGAGGGGGTGTTGAAAAGCACACACGATACAGCGGGTGTGGGTGGACTTGAGGGTGCACAAACCTTGCATACATAAGGGGAACAGGTCTGCCTAAGGGATTCTTTCTGACTAGCATACAGCGAGTGGGGATGGGGGTTACAGGTAAATCAAAAAAATTATGGGGATTGAATTGAAGACTACTCGGTGGGAATTGAATTGAAATTTATGGGAAGCATACAGACCTGCGCCACCCACCACAGGTCACCTGGGCGCCAAGAATGATGTCTATTCCTCTCTCCACTTCCCCACTCTTTCCCTCTCTCCCCCTCTCCTGTCCTCTCTCTCCCCCCCTCTCTTCCTCTCTCTCCCCTTCTCCCTTCCGCAGGACACCTGGGCGCCAAGAGCGACGTCTACTCCTTTGGTGTTCTTCTGCTAGAGCTGTACTTTAATTCCGCCAAGAGCTGTACTTTAATTCCGCCTCCCTTCCCCTCTCTATGTCCCTTCCTGCCCTCCACTCCACCGCAGGACACCTGGGCGCCAAGAGTGACGTTTACTCCTTTGGCGTTCTCCTGCTAGAGCTGGTAACCGGGAGGAGAGTGGTGGACGAGGGAGAGAAAATGGTCACCGAGTGTCGAACACGCTTCTCAGACCTCACACTTAAAGCCGTGGAATACATCGATCCGCGTCTTGGTAACCAGTACCCGGAGCGGGGCGCCCGAGGCTTGGCGACTCTGGCTCGGCACTGCGTGGCGGAGGCTCGGTCGAGCCGGCCGGACATTGGGACTGTACTGGAGAAACTCAGGCTGTTGGTGAGGGTGTGTGAGAATGATGGGTGGAGGCTGCAGCTAAAGCTGTAGCATTGGAGACGGGGGGGAACGGTTGAAACGGGGAATATGGAGGTGAACGGAGGTGAAGAGGGGTCCTTAGCAGCTGTGGCAACTGTGGAAGCTGTTGCTTGATATATTTCCTGGCAACGCCGTTGTTTTCTCGAGGCTTGGCAACTCTGGCTTGGCACTGCGTGGCGGACAATCGGACGACCTGGCCGGACATTGGGACTGTACTGGAGAAACTAAGGCTGTTGGTGAGGGTGTGTGAGAATGATGGGGTGGAGGCTGCAGCTAAAGCTGCAGCATTGGAGACGGGGGGGTCAGGATCGGTAGAAGGGGGGGATATGGAGGTGAACGGAGGTGACAAGGGATCGTTAGCAGCTGTGGCACCAGTGGAGGTTGCTGCTTGTCAGCTATTGGTAACCGGCAGGAGAGTGGTGAACGAGGGAGGAAAAATGGTCACTAAGTGCAGAGCTCTCCTCTCGGACCGGAATCTTGGACCTGAAGCTTATATCGACCCCCATCCTGATAACCAGTACTCCGAGCCAGGCGCCCGAGGTTTGGCAACTCTGGCTCGGCACTGCGTGGCGAAGGATCGGTCGAATCGGCCGGAGATTTTGAAGGTATTGGAAGTGCTCAGGTCACTGCATAGGCATGTGTGAGAGTGATGGAGTGGAAGTGGCAGCTGTAGCTGCCATGCTGCACTTCAGGTGGGAAATATGGAGGCGAATGGCGGGAGATTTAGGGAGATAAGCAGCCGTGGCCATAACCCAATCATGTATACGTTGGTTGAAATAGTTCCTGTTGACGCAGGTTTCCCTCTTGTAAGATAGCAGAAGGGCAACGAGTAATTGTGCTGTTTTAGAGAGTACAAGCACACAGATGCATTCATTGGCCCTTCGGAAAGATCTATGTCGGTGCTGATTCCATCGATCGTGTTTGCGAAGTTCTTTGCATCAGGTCACACGACACATGTTATAAGCTGACGTACATTGTTGATTATTAAATTCTGTTGAAATTATAACGAGTTTCATATTTGCAGCGGGCCCAATTTCATTTTTGCTTCGTTAGACTCAATTTCACCCCTCACTGATACCAGAGGTATTTGCACCATTGCAGTAAACTCTGTCAAGACTGCATCGTTGGATTTACTCGTCCATATCAAGCTCACGGAATCGTAATCTTAATCGTAATAATCGTATTACCGCTCGTAATCGTAGCCGTGCTAGGCTCCCTATTGCTCCTGATGTTAAGCCTTACTGCTTAGCGGAGTGAGCATAATCGCATTATGTGCGACGCCTTGCGTGGAGGAGCAACAGGCGTTGGAATGGGAATGCGGCTGATCGACGTAGTTATCGAGATTTGTTTTCTTCCCTTCAAGATTTGTTTGATAAACGATTTCTGGTCCAATTACAGCGCCGCCGTGTCAGATTCGTTAACGTGAAGAAAGATGGGTTGTTTTATGTCGAAAAGAGGTACGTACGCCGGTCTCCTATTATGTCGCGCTCAGGCACTCCGAACAACGTGAAAGCAGAATGTTAAATACATTGGTAGTTATCAAGGGTCGTCTCGGGGTAACTTTACACCCCACTGAAATTAGACCCGTTAAGCGGAAACTCATGTTCTGTCCGAAGGAAGAGAAGAAGCTAAATGCCAAGGTAACCTTACGTCTCACCCCCATCTCCCTTCAGCCGGCAAGTCCATTCCCAGCAGCCAGAATTTATCCTCTCTCACAACATATGCCTCTCAAACAACGGGTAATTTAGTTTTTGGTTCTAGAATAATTTTTAACGTTTTTTTCAACGGTTCAACCCCGAATACTGCCAGTGACACCAGTAGTTATGTTTTTGTCAACAGTTCAGCCGCGATTCCTAGTGCTAGTGACGCTGATAATAGTGTTTTGGTCGACGGTTCAACCGCAAATCCTTGTTCTGGTGACGCCGATAAGGTAGTTTTAGTTGACGATCCATCCCCGAATCCTAGACATCTCAACCGCAAATCGTCACTGCTGTCGTCGTTGTCAGTACAGTGATTTCGGATCGTGAAAATCGTTCCCCCAATTCGCGAAGTTGACTGTCATTCACCAGATCACTCCCAACCAAAGTTAGGAAGGTTGAGGCAGTTTTGGGCTGTTTGGAACTCCGGCTTTAAGAGGATGCACGAGGCGAACGAACGATACTCGGAAGAGTTTCTGGTGCGGGCGGGCGTGCCGAGGGGGGGGGGAGGGATGGAGAGGAGGGGGAAAGGGGGGGGGGAGGTGTATGGCTCGTGCGTGTATGCGAGGGTGGCACGCTAACCTTGCTTAATGGCATCGCTTTTCCGCACAATGATCATGCCTGTCTGTGCCGTGCGGAAAGAATCCATGGTACCGGGGTGACTGCCCCACCCGCTCCTCATGCGTCTGCACGGCTACTGCACGGTGTGCCCGTCACACCCTCCCTGGTCCCACGTCACCCCGTCCCTCGTACCATACCCATGTCCTCTCGTGCGGAAAGAATCCATGGTGCCGGGCTGACTGCCCCACCCGCACCTAGTGCGTCTGCACGGCTACTGCATGGAGCATCTACCACCCATGGAGAGTGGAGATGGCCCGGCTCCCTTCCCAACTCAAACTCTTCCATCCCCACCCAATCCCTCTCGTGCAGAGAGAGGTGATCGTGCTGGGCCGGCTGTCCCACCCGCACCTCGTGCGTCTGCACGGCTACTGCATGGAGCATCTACCACCCATGGAGAGTGGAGATGGCCCGGCTCCCTTCCCAACTCAAACTCTTCCATCCCCACCCAATCCCTCTCGTGCAGAGAGAGGTGATCGTGCTGGGCCGGCTGCCCCACCCGCACCTAGTGCGTCTGCACGGCTACTGCATGGAGCATCTACCACCCATGGAGAGTGGAGATGGCCCGGCTCCCTTCCCAACTCAAACTCTTCCATCCCCACCCAATCCCTCTCGTGCAGAGAGAGGTGATCGTGCTGGGCCGGCTGTCCCACCCGCACCTCGTGCGTCTGCACGGCTACTGCATGGAGCATCTACCACCCATGGAGAGTGGAGATGGCCCGGCTCCCTTCCCAACTCAAACTCTTCCATCCCCACCCAATCCCTCTCGTGCAGAGAGAGGTGATCGTGCTGGGCCGGCTGCCCCACCCGCACCTCGTGCGTCTGCACGGCTACTGCATGGAGCATCTACCACCCATGGAGAGTGGAGATGGCCCGGCTCCCTTCCCAACTCAAACTCTTCCATCCCCACCCAATCCCTCTCGTGCAGAGAGAGGTGATTGTGCTGGGCCGGCTGTCCCACCCGCACCTCGTGCATCCCACGGCTACTGCACAGAGGGCGATGAGGCTCTTCTCGTGTACGAGTTCATGACGAGGGGCAGCCTGGACAAGGCGCTACTAGACAGTGAGTGGGGTGCTAGAGCTGGGTGGTCACCACCTCGTGCGTCTGCACTGCACGGCTACTGCACGGAGGGTGATGAGGCTCTTCTCGTGTACGAGTTCACGACTGGAGGCTGCCTGCTGCACCGCGCGCTATTGGTCAGTGAGTGGGGTGCTTGGGCCAGTGAGTGCAGTGCTAGCTAGGGGTGGTATACCACCAGGGTAGAGTAGACTCAGCTCTCTCCACGCTCTGCTTGCACGTGTACGAGATCATGACGGGGGGCAGCCTGAACAAGGCGCCATTGGCCAGTCAGTGGGGTGCTTGGACAGTGGAGTGGGGTGCCAGGGGCGGTTATCCACAGCTGCTTCTCCCTCTTCGCTGCCCTGCTGCTGCCCTTCCTGCTGCCCTCTTTGTCCTCCCAGCATCCCTCGCTGCCCTTCCTTCTGCCCTCTGTGCCCTCTGTGCCCTCTGTGCCCTCTGTGCCCTCTGTGCCCTCTGTGCCCTCTGTGCCCTCTGTGCCCTCTGTTCATCATGCCCTCTACACCCCTCTCCGTTCGTCACGACCCCAACCCCCCTCACACCAGGTGCGAACGAAGAGCTCTTCTTCAGCTGGAACATGCACTTCTTTCCCACTTCCTCAAATCCCACTCTGCCCTTCCTCCCCTTGCCTATTCCGCCTCCCCCTTTCTCCCACCAGGTGCGAGCGGAGAGCTGTTTTTCAGCTGGAACATGCAACTCAAGGTGGCAGTGCAGGTGGCAGAGGCGCTCGCGTACTTGCAGCTGTTGCACTTTTGAGTCGACTCAAAAGTCAACGTGGCAGAGGCGCTCGCGTACTTGCAGCTGTTGCACACCCCGTTGTCCCATTCCTTTGTAGTACCCACTCTCTGTCCTCTCTTTCTCTTCTCCGTCCTTCCTCTCCCAGGTGCGAGCGGAGAGCTCTTTTTCAGCTGGAACTTGCGACTCAAGGTGGCAGTACAGGTAGCAGAGGCGCTCGCGTATTTACATGGAGGAGCCCCCTTGATGCACCGGGACCTCAAAGCCACCAACGTGCTGCTCTCTCCGGTAAGGGCAGGGGAGACAACGTGCTGCTACCGTTATTCTGGATGGTGCGAGTCGTCTCGTCACATATAGCTTCCGGATTCACTCTTGAGTCTACTCAAGTCTGAACTGATTGTTGAGGGTACGAGCGATCTCATAGCTTCCCAACAATGGCCTGCCTCTGGCCCCTCCCGCCGAATCTTCCACGTCTGTTTCGAATCGATCCAAATCACACATGCCCCCTCTCTCCGGGTTTCCCACTCGTCCTTGCCCTCCCCACGCCACAGGAATATGATGCAAAGCTGACAGATTCTAAAATGGTGAGATACTAAAAACCCCCAAGAGTGGCTGCCGTTTACCCACATCCTTCCGTATCCTCCCACTCGTCCCCTTCCCCAACGCCACAGGAGTGCGATGCAAAGCTGACAGACTTTGGGATGGTGGGCGTGGGTCTAGAGAGGCCGCTACATTCGATTGTATTAACTCGCATTATGGGGACCCCAGGTTACATGGACCCTTCTTACACGGAGACAGGTGTGTGTTTGAGAGACACTTGCATACTATGATTGGCCTGTCAACTCGCATCATGGGGACCCCGGGGTGCATTGACTTGTCTTACATGGAGACAGGTGTGTCTAGGGGAACATAAGTCTGTTACGAGCATGCATACTCGCATCATGGGGACCCCTGGGTACATAGACCCCTCTTACATGGAGACATGTGTGTGCCTAGCGGACCATGAGTAACAAGCGCAACACAGAGGGTGGGTGGGGTACAGGCGAAGACGAATTGTAGCTCAAGGCGATAGTATCAACTCGCATCATGGGGACTGATGGATACATGGGTTACTGTTACTGACAGTAACTGAGTAACCCCCACATGGGTTACTGACAGTAACTGAGTTACCCCCACATGGGTTACTGACGCCATTGTGCCGGCTGGGGGATACATGGAGCCTCTTACATGGAGACAGGTGTGCTGTCTGTATATCGGACTGTGATCAGCATGCATACCATTTTATGGGGTCTGAGGGATGCATCGACCCAACATGCATGGAGACTGAGGTGACTATTGAGTCGACTCAAAAGTGACCCAACATGCATGGAGACTGGTGTGCCTAGGGAATTCCAACTAGCATACAGAAAGTGTGAATGGGGCTACAGGTAAAGATGGCAATCATGCAATGATTCTACAGGGATTGAAGGATCGACCTCACCCTTCCCAACACTCTTTCCACTCCGCTTTGGCCCCCACAGGTCACCCTTGTGCCAATAGTGACGTCTACTCCTCTTCCTACTTCTCCTCTCTCCCCCTCCCGCCCACTCTCCCTTCCCAGGTCATCTGGTTGCCAAGAGCGACGTCTACTCCTCTCCCTACATTTCCACTCTTTCGCTCTCTCCCCCTCTCCCTTCCCCTCTTACTCCATCTCCCTTCCCCAGGCCACCTGGATGCCAAGAGCGACGTCTACTCCTTTGGCGTTCTCCTGCTAGAGCTGGTAACCGGCAGGAGAGTGGTGGACGAGGGAGAAAAAATGGTCATCGAGTGCCGAACCCGCCTCGCCAACCTCACGCTTGAAGCCGCCGAATACATTGATCCGCTCCTTGGTAACCAGTATCCGGAGCAGGGAGCCCGAGGCTTGGCGACTCTGGCTCGGCACTGCGTGGCGGAGAACAGGTTGGCTCGGCCGGACATTGGGACTGTACTGGAAAAACTCAAGTTGGTTGTGAAGGCGTGCGAGAATGATGAGGTGGAAGCAGCGGCTGAAGCTGCAGCATTGGAGGTGGGAGGATCAGGGTTGGTTGAAGGGGAGCATACGGAGGTGAATGGGGGTGAAGAGGGGTCGTCAGTGGCTGTGGCACCAGTGGCGGTTGTTGCTTGATATACTTCCTGGGAGTGCTGGTCTTTTCTCGAGGCTTGGCGACTCTGGCCTAGCACTGCGTGTTGGAAGATCGGACGACCTGGCCGGACATTGGGACTGTACTGGAGAAACTCAGGCTGTTGGTGAGGGTGTGTGAGAGTGATGAGGCAGAGGCCGCAGCTAAAGCTGCAGCGGTTGTGAAGGTGTGTGAGAGTGATGAGGAGGAGGCCGCAGCTAGAGCTGCAGCATCACAGGGAGGGGGGGGTCAGGGTTGGTTGAATTGGAGCATGCGGAGGTGAGTGGGGGTGAAAAGGGGTCGTCAGCAGCTGTGGCACCACTGGAGGTTGATGCCTGATATACTTTCTGTCAACGCTGGTCTTCTCTTTTGTAAGACAGCACAAGAGGAGCCCTCCCGCTAAGATTTTGTCATGTACTGACGCTGTCTTTGGTGTTCATTATGTTTTACAATATTGATATTTGATGGGTTGTTCCTCTAAGCCTTGCAGAACGTTTTGGGGAAATGTGAGGCCATTTCTCAAATCTCAGACAGGTGAGAAGAGAAGCAATAATAGTGCAGAGGGGTGACTTCTAGTGACACTGCTCAGCATCTCATCTGAACTGAACCCCTCAACAGTGTTGAGAAAGAAGCAGCTGCTTGTGTGGTGTGGACGCCTCGAGTGGAAAATTTGAATATGAGGATGCATAGAGCCGAGCTTTTCGCTGTACATATTCACCTCTGTAGCGAAGATGCCATGTGGCCACCCTAAGTGAGCACCACGTCTCGGCTTGCTGATGTGGCCGTTGGTCATGCGCTGCCTCGTCTTCTCCGATTGCTCGCTGCACCTCGCGCATTGGATTAGCCCGAGCCAGCACAGGGCGTCTAGAACTCGCCGCGTCACTCGGGCAAGCACACCGTCAACATTCATCACCATGAACTCCCAAGGTGCGTGACGTGGCGCCCAGTGATGCGTGGACCGTTGCCGGACGGGCAATTTCGAGGGACCAAGGGGAGGAGCATTCACCCGCGATTCGCCGAAACGAACCCTTCAAAACCTCGCTGCAAGCAATGCAGGCAGTAGTTCACCGATTTTACACTTTCCCTACCAGTCTAGCTCTCCGGTAACCGGCGCGTCCACAATCTCTGATACGCGAATTTTTGTCTCCGATTTGCTCGCCGGAGTGTTTTATCTAGGGCTCTGAGAGACTCTCCTTCGCGAGCTACCCGGTTACACGAAGAGTTGATTGTCGCCTCGGCCAAGGCGTTCTCCTGCTACCAACCTCTCTATACCTCCATTCCATATATTCTCCTCCTTGCCCAAATCTATAGCAACCAGCATCCGGAGTTTCCGCCTTTCAGATAGGCATTTTCCGCAGCCGCTGTATCTCGCTGCTCTGCTTCGGATTGCGCAATCCAATTCCTTCGCGCTCATCCAATCGTCGTAGCCTCGCAATCCTAGCTCTTAGCCATGGCGGCCCTCTCCGCTCCCGTGTCGGCGACTAAGTCCGCCCTCCTGGGCTCAGATCTCCGCGGTCAACGAATCACCATTGCCGGCAAATCCGTTCGAGTAGTCGCCGTCCCAGCGTCGCGCATCGTCGCGTCCGCCGCCGGAAACCCTGATGGCGTCAGCGCCTCGAAGCGCTCCTTCCTCAAAAAGGCCCTCGGCGCCGCTGCCGTCGGCCTCCCGCCGCTGGTCCTCGGCGGAAGAGCCATGGCGGAAGGGGAGCAGCAGGCGGTTGCTTCATCTCGCATGTCGTATTCGCGATTCCTCGAATATCTCGACATGGACCGAGTTAAGAAGGTCGACCTGTACGAGAACGGCACGATTGCCATCGTTGAGGCGGTGAGCCCCGAACTCGGCAACCGCATCCAGCGCGTACGCGTGCAGCTGCCGGGGCTCTCCGGTGAGCTCCTCGCGAAGTTCCGCGAAAAGAACATCGACTTCGCCGCGCACAACCCGCAGGAGGATTCGGGCGCCGTCTTCATGAACGTTCTCGGAAACCTCGCATTCCCGCTGCTGCTCGTCGGCGGTCTCTTCCTCCTCTCGCGGCGATCCCAAGGCATGGGACCGGGTGGTCCGGGCGGTCCCATGGCGTTCGGGCAGTCTAAGGCGAAGTTCCAGATGGAGCCGAACACGGGCGTTACTTTTAACGACGTTGCGGGAGTCGACGAGGCGAAGCAGGATTTCATGGAAGTTGTCGAGTTCTTGAAGCGCCCGGAGCGCTTCACCGCCGTCGGAGCGCGGATTCCCAAGGGCGTGCTGCTGGTCGGGCCGCCCGGTACGGGTAAGACGCTCCTCGCGAAGGCTATTGCCGGCGAGGCCGCCGTGCCGTTCTTTTCGATCTCCGGGTCGGAGTTTGTGGAGATGTTCGTCGGTGTCGGCGCGTCGCGTGTGCGCGATTTGTTCAAGAAGGCTAAGGAGAACGCTCCCTGCATCGTGTTCGTCGATGAAATCGACGCCGTCGGTCGCCAACGTGGCACCGGAATCGGCGGCGGGAACGATGAGCGCGAGCAGACGCTGAACCAGCTTCTAACGGAGATGGACGGCTTCGAGGGCAACACGGGCGTTATCGTTATCGCGGCCACCAACCGCGCGGATATTCTCGACGCGGCACTGCTGCGTCCCGGGCGATTCGACCGTCAGGTGTCCGTCGACGTCCCCGACATCAAGGGACGGAAGGAGATTCTCAAGGTGCATGCGTCCAACAAGAAATTCGCCGAGGACGTCAACCTCGATGTTGTCGCGGCGCGCACGCCCGGATTCAGCGGCGCGGATCTCGCGAACCTGCTGAACGAGGCGGCGATCCTGACCGGGCGGCGCGGCAAGACGGCGATCTCGTCCAAGGAGATCGACGACGCGATCGACAGGATCGTGGCGGGTCTTGAGGGCACGGTGATGACGGACGGCAAGAGCAAGAGCCTGGTGGCCTACCACGAAGTCGGCCACGCCATCTGCGGGTGAGTTGATTTCCTTGAGTTGCCGCGTGTCCCCCCCCTCTCCAGTCATTTCCTCTCATGGTCCGTCTCTCTATGGTCAAATTTCTCGCTCTTCGCCCTCACCCTTGTTCACTTATCGAATTCCTGTCAAAGCGGGTCTAACTTATCTCTTATTCCCCCACCCTCTTCCTCTCCCTCTCTTATCTCCTCAGCACGCTCACTCCCGGCCACGACGCCGTGCAGAAGGTGACGCTGGTGCCACGTGGGCAGGCGCGCGGTCTGACGTGGTTCATTCCTAACGACGACCCGTCGCTCATCTCGAAGCAGCAGATCTTCGCGCGCATCGTGGGCGCGCTGGGCGGCCGCGCCGCGGAGGAGGTGGTGTTTGGCGACGCGGAGGTGACCACGGGCGCCTCGAGCGATCTGCAGCAAGTCACTGGCATGGCCAAGCAGGTATGCTGCAGTAACCTAACAGCAAGGCACATGCCATTGCCAGGCAGTGAATTGAGGAATTAAGAGTAATAATGGAACGATTGAGGCGAATTGGTGGGTATGGTGCTTGCCTTGCCAGTCTTCCCCACCCCACGCCCCGCAACCCTTGCCCACCTCCCTTTTCCACAAGTGATTTTGGTATTACCCTCTATTTGGCTTAAAAATAACTCTCATCTCTTTCAGGCTCTCTTTTCCTCGTGCAACTCCCACCACCCACACCTCCCTCAATGTATCTTCTCAATCCTTCGAGCCAACATTAACAATTGTTGGTGGTTCAGTGAGGCATTTTCTCAAATCTTATGACTCAGTCCACCCCTCTTGCTTTCCCTCTCCCCCTCTTGCTCCCCCCCCCCCCCCTCTCCCCCACAGATGGTCACAGTCTTTGGCATGTCTGACATTGGCCCATGGGCTCTCATGGACCCCGCTGGCCAGGGCGGTGATGTGATAATGCGCATGATGGCGCGCAACAGCATGTCTGAGAAGCTTGCAGAGGACATCGATGCGGCAGTTAAAGCCATCTCCGATGAGGCGTATGAGGTGGCTCTTGGGCATATCCGGAACAACCGGGAAGCAATTGACAAGATTGTGGAGGTGCTGGTGGAGAAGGAGACGCTCACTGGGGATGAGTTCCGAGCAATTCTTTCGGAGTTCACGGAGATTCCCAAGGAGAACATGAACTTCACCCCCATCACTGTCTGAAGAGGAGTTGTCAAGATAAGAGGACTTACCGATAGCAGCAGCTGCTGCTCTTGCAACTGTTTCTGGGTCATGGTTTTGTGAATTTATCTCGGTGACAGTTTAGGTTAGGTTTTTTTATTACCTTGTCAGTACATTGTGCGTTTGTACCTGTTTGACCTGTACATTCTGCTCGAAATTCTCCATATTTGTTGTTATTCCCGACCATGAGTTCCCCTACACACATCATTCCCACACAGCTAAGCCACAGTTCCTTGTCTGATATATTGTCATATTCTAGAAATCTTTTCTTTCTTTAGACAATGATGACATGTGATGGAATTTGATAGTTATCATGTCATGATGGATAAGTGTATGCAGTAGTTTACTTAGCTAGAATCCAACCACAAGACAATCACATCTGTGATTGAGCTTAGCTACCGCACTAAAGCATGCTAACTGCATTACCAGGGAGACCACAGTGAAAATTACTACTTGACTGTCGTACACTATTACCATCTCAGCAGCCTGAGTATCTCCTACCATCTCAGTTCATGTTGGCCATGAGCGTGGAGTAATGTTTAGTAGGCTGCGATGCAGTGTGACCAGCCGCATGCCTGGAGAGGAGTGATTTTTTACAATGTCAAGGCATCCAGTCGAATGCAGCCATGTTTACCAGTACCAAGTCGGACTGGCCACTTGGGAAGTCGTCAGTTCACATGCTGCAACGACAAGCAAACCACCAAAGGAGAGGGGAGAAGTGTGGGGACAAGGAAGGGGGAAAGGGAGGTGGGGGGTTGGGGAAGGGGGAAGGAGAGATGGGGAAAATTGCTGAATGATATGAGATTGATGATGGCTGGCGTTGTTAGTTAACATTCCTCCTGTTGCTTATGACAATGGTAATGACCCTGTTCATGAA